CCCCCCACCCCCGCGCCCCCGCTCGCCCTCCCTTCAGTCCTGGCCCCACCCTAAAGCCTAGGCAGGAAAATAGTTAAAAGGGGCGACGAGCAGCAGTATCTGCCCTGGGCCAAGCTCTCCTCTCCCCCAGGTCCATGACTCCTAACGCAGCTCCCCAGGACCCCCCAACATCGCGGGTGCCCACCCGGCCTGAGGCGGCGAGGCACGAATACTGGGAAGCAGGCGGGGGGACCTCAATTAGGCCTGGTTTCCGGCCGCTCGCCTGGTCGCCATGGCAACAGGCGCAGGGCGGCTTGGGAGCCGTTAGAGCTCTAGAGCCACGTAAGGGTTCCAGGGCTGCGCGGCAGCAGGTTTTGCAGCCATTGTCTAGGGGGCTGGAGCCGAGACCAAATTAGGAAAGAAACCTGGGTTTCGGAATGGAGCCAGAACGGGAAGATCGGAGAAGCGAGAGCAGAAAGGCGGTACGGATGAGTTATGGCCCTCAGAGGCCCCCGTAGCCCCCCATCTCCCCATGCTTTTGGGTTCCTGCAGTCACCTGGTGCTCAGCCCACCCGGAAGCAGGTTCGCCCCGCCCCACGTGGGCCCCGCCTCTGGGCAGCACCCGAAGCCTTCCCGGACTATCCTTGGTTCCCAGAGCGCTTTCCCCATGGCCCCTTACGAGGAGGTGAGTGTGTCCGGCTTCGAGGACTTCACCCGGGCTGTGGAGCAGCACAAAGGCAAGACCATTTTCGCCTACTTTACCGGTTCTAAGGACGCCGAAGGGAAAAGCTGGTGCCCCGACTGCGTGCTGGGTGAGGCCGGGGTTCGGGGCTGCTGCCCAAAGGGAGTGGAGGAAGGCAAGGCCGAGGTTCTAGCCGGAGAGCGGAGTTCATGGCAGAGGAAGGAGTCTTACTCCTGGAGATCCGCAGGGCTTTCTAAGCTGGCATTTTGCCTCCTTGTCCCACTTGTTCCCTTCTCTCCCGTTAAGTGCGCCCCCGCCCCAAGAGTGCCTTCTACCATTCGACCCATATCATCTTGACATCTAGTCCTTTCCAATTTTCCACTTCCTCAGTATGATTAGCGTCTTGGTGAGGACGGGAGTTGATGTCCTTTGCATAGGTCAGCAAATATGCCTTTCATTCTTCTGGGCGTCGGGACTGGGACGTAGTTACCCTTAAGGTGGCTTTCAAATCAGAGAACACCTGCCTTCTGTTAACCTCAGTTAACTGCAGGTTAGGTCTGAGTTGTTAGCAACATGAGGGGAGGGGAGAGGGATGCTGTTTATCAGGGCCTGGTTGTAGAGTTGATGTGATTATTTTATATCAACTTTTTTTTTAAGCTGAACCAGTCGTACGAGAAGGGCTGAAGCATATTAGTGAAGCATGTGTGTTCATCTACTGCCAAGTAGGAGAAAAACCTTAGTAAGTGGCAATATATACTCTCTCCCCCAGACATGCACTGCACTCTGCCCAACAGGTTGGAAGGGCCCGGACTCAGGTTCTATGTCTAAGGTACAGTGGATGAGTCAAGCAATTAGAAGATATAAATACAGATCAAAATTCTGAATGTTCAGCTGCTTGTATTGGAAGGATAATTCAATAAATTTAGTCTGGTGTTAGTTCAGAACTTAACTGTCTTTACATACATATCTTAATCACACTTTAAAGGAAACTTACACAGGGGAATAGGTAAGTCACAGTTCTTAAGGTTTTTTAAAAGTTTACAACAAAGTGATTACTAAAAAACTAAATGTAGGAATATATCAAATATTAAACAAAATATAAGAAACATAGTAAAATGTTTTGATCACTTTTTCTTTTCAAAATAGTTGGAAAGACCCAAATAATGACTTCAGAACAAACCTGAAGATAACCGCAGTGCCTACACTCCTTAAATATGGGACAGTGAGTATCTTTCTTCAACTATGTTGGGGTTACCGTTCACCCTGTCACCCCTCTTTTAACTCATTCTGGATTCACATATTGAGAGGTCTTGACATTTCATCCAAACATCACAGTGCTGTTCAGAGTGCATCTGTCCATCCCCTATGGACAATCCCAATAAACTGTTAGTAATGTAAATAGCTAAGTATTACATCTTTTTATGCTTTTTAAAAGTTATTAATTTAAAATTCTATAAGCACTGCTCAAGAAAGTTGATTTACACATGGTTTCTTAAACACTGGCATCAATGGCTGCTTGCCAGTTAACCCATAATTCTGGTTGAGAAGGAACTTCTAGTCATAGCCCTGGGATTCTAAACTAAAGAGTAGAGGGCAAAGGGGTGGCACTGGACTTGCTGTCTCCTGTTTTAGTCTAAGTTTTGAGCCATGTATTTTAATGACTGAACTTAGAGCAAATATCTTAAGTGTTTCATAAAACTTGTTACAACTAGTTAATAGTTTCTGAATGGCGTACTTTCTGTTTAAATATTTGTGTCATTCAAGGCTGAACAACTCTGTTCCCTCCTAATAACATTTTTGTAGCTGTGGGTTATGATTTGAATGTTCTTCTCTTACAGCCTCAGAAACTGGTGGAATCTGAATGTCTTCAGGCCAACCTCGTGGAGATGTTGTTCACTGAAGATTAAGATTTGATTATGACAGTTGTGTCTTGATTTCCTGATTTATTCTAGTATAAAAGAAATTGCATGCTTGCTTTGAATTCATGTTAGGATAAATAAATGATGATTTTTAAAAATGGCATGTCTAAACATTGGAGTGCTATACAAATGCTCATGAACCCTGTTTGTTTGTAATATATGGATATCTTTAAGATATAGGTAAAATAAGTCTTCAGGAGTGGTAGTAATAGCACAAAGGAATGTGTTATTGGAGATAATAGGAATATCTGAAAGCCCCTAATAGTGAATTTGCTTCCAAATCTTTGAATGAATTTTAGGATCTTTTAATTTAAATTCCATGAATTTACAAAGAACTATTTTTCCTAAAACGCCTTTTGGGCTTTAGAATGCAGAACTTAAGCTAACCACAGCACAGCACATCTAATCCAGCCCCACTTCATACAGGCAGCTTTGTTTCACAGTCTGAACGTACCTCACTACTTGGGATGAGGCAGGGAGCAGAGGCCAGAGCCGATACAGCCAAGCGGGAGGAAGGATTCCACCTGACTCAGGCACACTCGGATTACCACTTACTAGCAGTGTAACCATAGGCAAGTTACGTAAACTGTCTAAGCCTCAGTCTCCCCCTTTTGAACAAAGACTGTTCTAAGACTGACATGAAAATGCAGCTAAGCACTAACACGGTGCCTGGTTTGTGGTGTCTGCCAAATAAACGTTAGCTTTGCCACATGAGCACAAGTATTTGAAATTCCTCATCTTTGTTCTAGTCTAAGGTCAAGAGTCCAATTAGTTAACTATCCATCTCCCTGCCATCACTAGGTCAGCGACATAGCAATGATTCTTCCATTAAAGCTCTTTGCAAAGCAAGTAGTGAGACGGGTATGTCCTCTTCTCTTGCAGAACGTAAAAACCTTATGCCGTTCCTGCTCTGGGATTTAAAGAGGTCATTGACTCTATTTCTTATGTGGATAAGGAATAGTCAATGACTACTACGTAGATAAGAAGGGTGGGGTAGCTGACCTGAGGGACAGTAAGGTTCCAGAAGATGGACTTGCCCCAGCCCCCACTGTATATCAGGAACAGGGCCTGGCTGAGTTCAGGATGTTTGGCGGCCCTCCCTCTACCCCATCCTCACTGCCTCCTTAAACTGGTCTAAAGCACCAAATGTTTCTGTCCTTAGTTGAGTGTGTTAAATACTAATAAAAATTTACAAATCCAGAGGAAAATCGAAGAACAGTTTTGGCTTAACAGAAATAATCTACTGACAATGAAAAGTTAGTTGGATTAAATAGCACACCAAAGGTACTCAGTGCTAGCACAAGAAAGTAGGTAAGTTGAGTCTTTTTTTTTTGGTCTTCACTGTACAGAAGCAACATATACAGTCTTAGGAGCCTGGTCTGGATCCAGCTTTTCATTTTCCTGAGGTGTTATTTTGCTGTTGCTGTTCTGCCAGGGCTTGCTGAAGGCGCATCCGCTTCCGGGAATAGTGCTGCCAGTGCAGAATTTGCTGCTCATCAATAAATTTCGCACACTGAGCATTCACCAGCTCCTTGCGGAAGTGTTCGTACTGGAGTAGTTCTAACATGTGTAAACACTGAGGGTACCTGGGTTTAAGTTTATCAATTAATGATTGGCATAATTTAAGTCAATAACTCCAAGCTCTAATTCAGTTACTCATGTACAAATGATCTTGCAGCCACAATTTCTGTAACATTAACTTAGAACACTTTGGTAGCATAGTTCTTTTTTTTTCTTGCTCAAAGAAACTAGTGATCAAAAGCGAGAATTAAGCAAAATTTTCACAAGTGAGAAAACTTAAGATCAGAAAGATTAAGTAACTTGCCCAAGATCACACAATAACTGGTAAGCAGAGTCAACATTTGGGGGCAAATCGAGTTCATCTACTCTGGTGGTTTCTAAAGTGAGGAGTAGGAACACTTAATTTTTAGTAATTATGTGTTTAATTGATAACTACTGGCTTTCCATCAATAATGATAAAAAGAGTCAATTTCAGAAAGAACTGCACAAATATTATACTCTAGTTTTCCATGGGGATATGGAATTCTGAAATTATATATACTCTAAGACTGAGCAAAGACCTAAGTAAATGTACTGTGGAGAAAGAGTCAAATTTCTGGCTCTCATAAAAAGAAACATGAGGAAAGGGAGAAGGCAAGAATGAACCCTATTTTTGAGCAGGAACTGAAAACAGCAGTATGAACTCATGACTTTTTAGACAGAAACATAGAGCCAGACACAGATACGTGTTCTCAGTTTGTGTGCTGCAAGGCGTAGGAACAATGACGGTGGTACTAACAAGCACAGTTTAGTGCCCAACTTGTGGGTTTTAAATAGCATTTTCCAGAGTTCCTTGGAGAAATGGCTGATTCCGGGCTAAGGCAAGGAAAATACAAGATGAGCCTGGGATAGTGTGTAGAGCCAAAGAAAAGTGCTCAAAAATTATGTCAGAAGTACTCCAGAGACCATCTGAAGGGGCTCCCCGTGGCCATAGCTGGAATCACTAGAGCAAGGACATACATAATAATAATCCACAAGATAAAAATTAAGATGCCAAGAGTCCATAGTGATGTAACTTATAAAAATGAATGAATAAATTGGGAACAAGGGAAGTTCCTTACAACTGAATTAGTCTTAGTAAATGTAGAAAGAATGACGGAATTGGAATTAGAAAACCACCACAGTAAAAATTCTTTGAGGCAAGTATCTTCAATAGCTAATTAGTGGGTAAAAGTATGAAACATAGTTTCAAAGTATTTCCTCACAACATATTAAAAAGAAAAAATAGTAACTTGGTATGGAGAAAACTGGCAGCTACCACCTCAACCGAGTGATCAAAATTAACATCATCAGTGGCAGGTAAATTGACTTCTGTGTCACAGTCATGGAGGGAAAAAAAGACTGACGAACTCAGGTGGAAGGAGACTAAGAGATGACAAAATGCAACATATGAGCCTACACTGGATACTGTACCAGACATAGGGCATTAGTAACACAGCCTGTGAGATCTGAAGTCTGTAGATTAGGTAAGGTTAGATAGTATATTGTTAATGTTCTAATTTTGATCATTGTACTGTGGTTACATAAGATTTTTAATATTTAGAATATATGGGTGAAGAATATTTAGGGATGCTCTTTACTATTTTTCCAAGCTGTTTTGTAAGTAAAATTATTTCAAATAGAAAAGAGATAAAGTTTAAATGAGTAAATTAAAAAACACTAAGTCAGCCCTCGCCAGTTTTGGCTCAGTGGATAGAGCATCAGCCTGTGGACTGAAGGGTCCCGTGTTCGATTCTGGTCAAGGGCACATACCGGGGTTGCAGGCTCAGTCCCCAGTAGGGGTAGTGCAGGATTCTCTCTCATCATTGATGTTTCTCTCTCTCTCCCTCTCCCTTCCTCTCTGAAATAAAAATATATATTTTTTAAAAGTAAATCATATAGGGAGTACACAGAGCCAAAACTGGACAAGCGGTAGAAATGACACATTTGGGCAACAGTATACTCCTGCAGTGCTCACGGGGAACCTCGAGCCATAGTTTAGATGACCATCTCAGCAGTGTGGTGAGTGAAATTAAACTTGTGGTGTCTAATCAGTGTCCATCACTGAGTCTCTAATCTACATACATACATACATGTTCATATCTAATAAAAAATTTTCTGTGAATTATTAAATGAATAAGTGGTTGTTTATAAAGAGCCAGGAAGGGTACAGAGGATCCTGCAGGCAGCTTCGTGAATCAACTATTAGACCAGTGGTTCCCAACATGGAGCACATGCCCCTTTGATTAAGGGGAACAATTCAAGAATGGAGTTAGTAACAGTGAATTTTTTGCATTTCTTATGGTTCTAGGGGCCTCACAGTATATAAATATATATTGTGACGTATTTATGCATTTCAGTTCTCTAGTATATGTTTTGAAACTATTTGCTATTTTTTCATATCACTTCACATTATTTTTTTTAACAATTTCTTAGTGATTTCTTCCTCAGTATTCAACTGTCCTTTTATCCTTTTATTTTTCTCTTTCATGGACGCCATGTTCTTTGGAAGCTTATCTAGACTTAATGGTCTTTAGGCTTCCTCCATAGAAGTTCACTTTTTGAATAGTAAGAATTATATGGGGGGGGAGTGGACAGCATTAGGATTTTAGAGATGCTTTGGTGGGGCATGGCCAAAAGAAGGTTGGGAACCACTGCATTAGACATAGCTCAGAAAAGTGACTTGGATAAAAAGTTCAAGATTGAAACATTTTCCTCTCAAACTTTGCTTAGAAAAAAACAAAAAGTTTCATTATTGCTTTTTTACTGCCTAGTTAAGACAAAGAAGTGTGAATTCAAAGTTTACTTTTTACCAGTAAAAAGGAATGCTTGTGATTATAATATGCTTTTTGCAATTTAGTAACCATTAAAATGACATCTTTTGTACAACCTAAATTATGTGTGTGTGTGGGGGGGGGTGTTCATTTATTTTTAAAATGGGTACAGTACAGCACGTAGGAGGCCCTAAACCAGTAGCTATTAAGGCTCTGGTAAGGTTACCTCCTCCAGAAAACTGTCCTTACAAGTACCCCTTTCTACATTCTTAAACTTTAGCCTATAGCTATGTTCCTGCATTTATAGAATGTGAGTTCCTGGGGGTCAGAAAACCAGTGAGATGGGGTGAGTAGTACAAGATAAGGTCAGATAAGACAGAGGCAGATCATACAGAACTTCAGCTCAAGAGACTGAATTTTATTCTGGATGCATTGGGAAGCCATTGAAAGATTCTAAGCAAGAAAGTAACATGTTGTGATTTACATTTTTCAGAGGTCAATTTGGCTTCTGCACAAAGAATTGTTTTTGCTTTGTTTGGCTGGGGGTGAGAGGGTGGGATGGAGAAAAAAAGGTAAGAGTGGAAGCAAAGATAACCAGTAGGCAGATCACTCCAATTCATCAGAGATAAGTGTGTCTTGTAAGGTGGTGGCAACTAAAAGTGGAGAGATGGGTAAAACTAAGAAGTCTATTAAATATCAGTGTTTTCGAGTATAATCAAGTATATACATATGTAGGACTATTAAAATTAAACTTACTTTAGATACTTGGCATATTCTGGTTCTTTCCAGTAAAGCAAGTACTTAAGATAATTAACAAAAGCTTTGTCTTTGAAGTAACCTCTTTGGGCAAGAACTGAAAGGCATAAAAAAAAAAAATGCATCTGTAGAGCAAACCAATCCTTGAACCACTGATTTGTGACTTCTAACAAAGAATTTACACACATAACATCCCCACCACCAACACACACTGAATTCATAAAACAAGTCCCAGTTTGCTCAATTATATATAGTATATACACCATTGTAAGTGCAGCAATAATTCCGTTCAATTGAGAATGTATAAAAGCAGACACTAATGAATTGCAACTCATCTGTCAGAAATCCCATTCATTCAATGAGGTGCTCGACAACTTACAATTAAGATAATTTGGGTTAGCTAAACACTGCACAAATTCCAACTCCAACTGAAACCGAAGTCGATTTCCAGCATCATCTAGGAGAGAAGATAACGAAAATCACCCAAAATAAAGGTCACTTTATATAATGTTAACTTGTAGAAAGAAAACAGCAGTAAAGAAACCCGACTAATGCTGATACGTATTTCTACATGAAGGGCAGGTGGTGATTGTTTTTCTAAGAGGGGATAAACCTTCACAAGGGTAAGAAAAGAAAAGCCCTGATTAAAGTGATTATTTCTCTAAAGTTTAAAGTTATCAAAGAAAACAGGAACACACAGGGGGCAGGACATTTACCACTTGTGAGCCACCATGTAGAGATTTTGACGGTGACCACTGGGGTACGTGGTTGGTAATAGCTGTGCCTTCCCCTATGTGAATACTGCGTTAAAATGTTAATGGGATTAAATTAACAAAAGCTAAGCGAATGCTAAGTCAATCCGAAAAGAAAGTTTAGAATTCAAGCTGAAAAAGAGACGGAACGTGTGCAAGACCAGGGAGCGCGTGGGTATGTGAGAAGCGTCAGTGGCAGAAAAATTCACAAGTGTGTCCGCGATATTTCAAACTTAGACAATTCATCTGAGACGCAGAAAACAAATCGAACTCCTCTGGGTTAGTCTCGCCCATGCCAGGAAGCCCACGGGGTGGGTGTTTGACCAGCAAGTGAGGAAAAAGGCCTGCGAACATTTAAATCAGCCTCTGGAAAGGCCAAACTCCCTTAGCTTTTCCAGCCGCGACAAGAGCCCTCGCGCCCCCAGGTCCGCACTGTCACCCCGCGGAGATGAGCCCTGCACGGCGTCCCCGGAGCTGGAGCAGGTGTCCCGGCCCGGGACCCGTCTGTCCGCGGAGACTCGCGGCTCCGAGCGCTACTGACCTGTCTCCATAGCGACAGCCGCGGCCATCACCGGCTAAAAAGCTCAGCTGCCTCCAGCCCCACACAGCCACCGCCAGGAGTGGAGGAGGAGGTTCCGGAAGCCGCGGCTCCGCCTTCCTGTCGCGGGGCA